ATATATATACATAACTAGGCTGATGAACACCCTCATGTAAATGCAAAAGCAAATTATTTTTAAATAACAAACCACAATAAAAATACACACTGCAACAATAATCAGTATAATTTGTTTATGGATCACAGTTGTTGACATACCACTAAGCAGTGGCCTCCCTCCCCCAGTGAGTCAGAAACAAGCACAGGGAGGATTCAGTATTCAAGCCTGGACAGGAAACCTACTCCCAACATTAGCTGGAAGCTGAGCTCCAGCACACACTGTTCGATCTACTGTAGGACTACAGAGATGTAGAACAGCTAGTTTCATCGGTGGAATCCTGCACTATTCACTGCAAAGCAACACCAGGAGGGCTGAAGACAATAAACCTTTACCAACTCTAGAATAGAGACTGAAGAGTGATATGGCTGACCTGGTGCCAGGATTACTCATTTGTCTGATGGCAGTGCAGACCATTCAGCATAACGGTAAGTTTCTGAAAATTCTATACATGTTTATCAAACGGATAATTATGTTTTTAAGCCTGGAGTCAAAATTAGATCTTTATACACTTCAACTTCTTTTGGTACACAGCAACTTGTTAATGGCACGTTAACCAAACCAATGTTAGAAAACACAGGTTTAAACTTTTAAAAATGCTAAATTTTGTTAGAAATGTCTCATTTCTTTGCAACAAACAACACAAGTACTGCAACTAGTAAGTGTTCAACTGAACACTAGATGGTAACATGATTAATTTCATTTTTGGTTTTAATATAGTTTGATATGTACTTTTGTTATAAGATTAAATTTATTTAAAGCCATAAACCGCTTCTCTACCCATTTATAGGAAACAGAACTATGACCAAAACCAATACTTCAACTGGTGCCATACCAAAAACTTTCAAAGGGACGACGCGTGTACTTAATCACACAAACAAGTTGCCAGCCCTGCTCCATCCCAGCACAAACCCTTGGCTCAATGTGAATCCTGATGACCCAGTGACGGCCTACACCACAGGGATCCTTAGCACTTGGATCATACCTTTAACGTACATCCTAGCTATGCTGGTGGGTATCCCCTCCAACGCATACATTCTGGCCTTCTTCAGAGTCAGACTCAGACCAAAGTCCTTATCCATGACAGTCCTTTATCTGAATCTGGCTTTGTCGGACCTACTGCTCCTGCTGTCCCTGGCGCTGCGTGTTCACTACCACATCAACAGAAACAACTGGATATTTGGGGAAATATCCTGCAGGTTTATTACAGCCTTGTTTTATGGCAATATTTACGGTTCAACTCACACTATAGCATGCATCAGTCTGAAGCGCTACCTGGCTGTGGTCAGACCATTTCTGTACAGAAGGTTGGCTAAGACTACGCTGGCGCTGTGGATGTGCTTGGTTGTATGGTTCCTGTTTGGGGCTGCTATTCTCCCTGAGCTCCTGGTCAGGCAGAGCTACCAGGTCACCCAGCTGGGAGTCACCACCTGTCATGATGTACTTCCTCTAGAGGAGCCATCACATTTCCACCTGGTGCCATACAGGCTGATGTTGGTTTGTCTGGGCTTCATCGTGCCTTTCCTAATTTGCATCTATGCCCATGTGGCAGTTGTGTACCACCTAGGTCAGTCTGGTTGTGACTGGAAACCTTTTATCAGGGTCAGCACTCTGGTCTTTGTCATCTTTGTGGTGTGTTTCTTGCCCAGTGGCATCCTGCACATCATCCACTACATCCGCCTATTTTCCCGTGGGGACGACAGCTTGTACGGATACTACAAAGTAGCAGTTTGTCTCTGCTGCGTCCACAGTTGTCTGGATCCCTTCCTGTGTTTGCTCATTTCCAAGACTGCAGCTTCAGAACTACAATTCATCTCTCTCCGTGGGATATCTCAGAGACCAACGGGTATGACGTGAGACTGGAAGTGTGGGCATAGAAAAAAAACTTCCCCTTGCTGGACTGATGTTTTCGGAGCAGGGAAGCACAAAAAACAAAGATGTGAAAGTTAAGACTGGACACTGTGAATTTAACAGACTTCAACCTCTGTTGGGCCCAAAACAGAGTATGTACAGTATCATAAAAGATATATGCAAGTATGTTGTCAACTATAGTCTGTCCTCTATCTTGTTTTAATAAAAAAAAAGTGACTATACAGTGTTTATATTTATATAGATATTTACTCTTGCCATTCTAGTTTTTTATTACATGTAAAATATGTACATATAAGTTATAAATATTCAAGGCAAAATTAACATTCATAAAAATACAGTAATATAAAAGAGTGATGTCAAGAGGCTGCTGTGCAACTCCAGTAAAACTTATGAGAATGAGATAAAGTTATGGGATGTGGTTACCTTATTTAGCTATAAGGACTTTTGTGTATTTTGCCATTTGAAGGTGTGAGGTGCGCAAGAACAATTTTCTACACATATCCTAAATAAATTAAACTGGCAAGTCACCTGGCAGAGAAGTTGCTTGGTATGTAGCAGGACATCATGATAGTGTTTGGCTGTGCCTGAGTTCACCCCCGTCAACTTGGCTGTAGGGAGGCATAGGGCTGCGAGTGTCTGCTGGTGATCACCTGAGTTAAGCGCCTCATTGATCTCCGCTATAGCTATGATGCCTGGAGGTAGAGAACAAGAAACATTTGAAACCTGATCAGTCAGTGCATTTAACTGACTGCATGGTTTTAAAAATAAAGCTTTTCCTAGGATTCAAATGACTTAAAAGTCCTGTTAATTGAAAAAAGTTCTTTTTTTGGCAAAGGCACATGCTACAAAACATAGACCAGAAATCTACAAGACTTTCTTACGTTCATGTTCTTCCTGGACCTGAACGTTGACTGTGTCGATACACTTCTGAACATCATTCCAAGTCAGAAACTCTTGGCCTTTGGCGAGAGTCTCAACTCTCTGTCTAATAAGAGTATCAGCATACCTGAGGGAGAGTGTCATAGGAGAGTTTCAAAACAGTTCCATGACAACAAATGAGTCAGTCTTCAGTGCCCTACCCTGACAAAGCCACAGTGGAGCAAGACCAACAGTGGAGTACAGTGAGGAGGAACAAGGTTTTAATCAAATTCTCCTAAAAACATAACACTATTATTCCTGAATACAACAATTACAGCAACACCACCAAAACAAAAATCAGAAAACCTGTTGAGGTTGTCTGGGTCCATGTTGGTGAAGCCCAGAGGAGAGTCTGTTAGTTGCTCTATCACAGCCTGGGGGTCTTTGGTGTCCAGCACCTCATTCAACACTGCGACAGCTGACAGCATCTCCACAGCCACACTCAGCTCCTCATGGCTCAGTCCAGACTAATAAACATAAAGGTCTGCATCACAAGCATGATGTGACATTTAACTGCAGTATACATCTAGCACTGGCTTCCTCTTTATCTGTGTCAGTATGTGAGTCCACATGCAAGTGGACAAATTTTAAACATGATGTCTCACCCGCCCCCCTTGTAGCTGCAAACTGAAAAGCTCAGTCTGATAGAGGTTGGCAGCAGTTTGGTAGACAATTGGCAACTGAGCCTCAGGGTTCATCAGCTTCTCCACTGTCTCCAGTGCATTCCCAAGACAAATGGCTTTATTAATCGCTGCAACAGCTTCAAGCTCTGGTCAAGAAAATAATCGCAAATAGTCACAAGTCCAAAGGCATCTCGGTATGAAAATTATATTTTTTTCCCTGACAATCAAATGCTAAACTTCCTATGAAAAACCCAGATTATTTATTGTGAACTGTACCTAACAGTAATAGAAAATAAGACTTCACAGATTACATCCATGATGAGTAACAAGAGGTGCTTACTTCGTTTTTCTGCTTCAGCAAAGTCATTACAAGAGCTGACGACTTTTTGGATCTCCTCTTTGTCCGCCACCACAGCCTTCCCTCCATCCTGCAGTGCAAAGAATAGGCACCACTAAGATCCCATGATTATTCAGCATGCTTTAATGCAAGGCCATGGTGGATAAAGTGTCCAGGGGTGTCCATTCCAACTCAAGTTATTTTAGTCAATTATGCTTTTAATTTTGCCAAGTCTGTTATTAGACTTCTTCAGAACTAATGTGTTCACTGAATGAGTAGTGAAACAGCACGACAATGGCAGCTCAGAGACCTACTGTACTCTCATATGAAAGGTTTCAAATGGAAGTGGACATTACTGTTAGGACAACTAAAAAATATTATCAAAAATATGTTGAGTTTAGAAAAGCCAAAGATAATGCTATAAATGTTTCCACAGATATGTATGATTTGTTTCTAATATACACACACTTCTTTAAACAGCACTGTGGCCTGTCAGCTGTCCACACAGTCATTTTCATCTATGGCCCTCAGGCCACCCAAGTGCTGCTTTTATTAAATCTAGTTATCTAACAAGGGCTTATTGACTGCACATCACCAACAACTGCAAATAAAGGCAATTATCTGACAGCTTGAAAAGAACAGCAGAGGTTCTTTGGCCCCCTGAGGCCCTAAGTTGGCAACAACGGAGCAAACAAAATCTGACTCTGTATACCTTGGATTTATATTGGCAGTAGTTGGTAAAATGTTCCAGGTACCACTGGTGGTTTGACTCCTGAACACCAACCAGGGCCAGAGCTTCAAGCCTCAATGCCACCAGCAGAGCAGCCTCATCCTGGGTCACCACTGCCTGATTCACCTGCTTTACTGCTGCCTCAACTGGAAACAGGGAAAACCAGAACAGACATTACTGAGGGATAATGTATGTACATAATGGTATATGTATAAGGAAAACTCCTTACTATTGACTAGGTAAATGCAGCCCTGGATCTCCTGCTGAGTTAGCAGCTCCTCATAAACATCTCTTTCTTCCGTAGCAACAGAGGCACGCTAATGGAGAGTGACAAAAAAAAAAAATCAATGACATTTATTTCATATAGCATATTAATTTCAACTTGATCACATTCATTTATTGCCCCATTCATACTGATGTGGTTGCATGAAGCAATTTGATGGAAATGGATAGAGTAGCTCCTGTTTTTACAGTATTTGTAAAGAAAATGGGTCGGTGTCTGGTGAAGCACAGCTGACGCTGCAGCCTGTGGAATGTGCTGACAAGGCCTGTGGAGCGAGTCAGTGCAGGCAGCCCATTTCATCCCATACAACAGTTGTCAGTAATTGACACTACATAAACACCATATGATTCCAGTTGTAAAAAGTCTCAAATGGTTTACATTCTTCTGTTTTGTAATTTCAGTTTATTGAAAGCACTTTCACATAATTTATTGGTCAACACACACTCTTAAACCAGGCTTTGCAACCTTGTTTCCAACCTGGGTTGAACATAGATGTGACACATACAGTTAGTGGAAAGGTGCTTTAACTGGTGATGATGGCCATTCCACTTAATGTTACTGTTAGTGACATTTATGCAAGTGAATGTCTGATTAGTCTAAAAACAAGTCAACCAGAAACAGAGTGAAATAGAAACTGAAAGGGACGAGTGCACAGAGTGACAGACTATATAAACTTTGTTACAAACACAGTGAAAGTTGCACAGAGGCTAATCAAGTCTTCTTTAGAGGGAAAGTCAGTAATGAACCAAACATTATTCTACAAAGTAAAGAGGCCATTGAAACCTACAGTAAGAGGTCAGTGAGGCGTTTCTTTGGCTTCTCACCCTTCCTGAGGACTGATCCTGCTTACGAGCCTTGGCCTGGCTCAGTGTATCCTGGTAGTCTTGGGCCAGAGCTTCCTGGGTCTTCTTCAGCATTGCATTAGGGTTATTCAAGGCTCCCATTGTAACAGATGCCTGACCTTTGTCAACTGCTTCATTGATGGCAATCACGGCAGCGTGCACTAAAGATAACCATGTAAATAAACAATTAGCCAACTATGTCAGAAACCTCAATAAAAGTCTAAGATGGTCAGAGGACTTACGGGCAGCTTCATCCACTGAGAGCTCATTGGCCAGGATACCTCCAATCTTACTAAATGCTGGCATTTGAATGCCATACTTCTCCAGCTCAATCCTCATGTTACTGATCTCTTCCTCTGGAAGTCAAATGGCAGGCAAATTGTGGTGAAGATAGTAAAGGCCAAAATTAAACTGTACTACATGACTCAAGGTTTAATTTCCTTTTACAGCTTTACTCAGTTGCTTTAGCAAAATAAAAAAGTAAACAGCAAACTAAATAAACACTGACATTCCCCCAAAGTTAAATTTGGGGTAAAACTAGAAGAAAAATAAAGAGAAATAAAGAAAAAAAATCCCATTTGAGGCTTTTTCAGGACAAAAAAAAAAACTTGTTAATTTGAGTGTCCTAATCAATATTATTTGAAAGGCAGCAAGTGATATTTTGATTAACTGAAATGTTGAACGCTTCAACCATCTAAATTTCTGACAAGCTATTTAAAATTAATCATAAAACTCACTCTTCAGAGCAAATGATCCCATTCTTTGTTTTTTACGAGGCGTTGTCTGGTAAAGCAGCCACGGACTCACTGCTAGTGAGTAAAATTACACTCCACACTGAGGACTCATTCAATGAATACACTGGCAGGTGTGCACATGTCAGTATTTCAAAAGGCCCTAAAGCCTATCTTTTACTGTAAAAGCAATTATTAATAACACCACTGTTTCCTCTGCTGCTTAAATTTTGTGCAACTTCAATGTCATAGCTCAGTTTGAGGAGAAGCTGACTTCCACAAGCTTACCTGTAAAGGCCACTTTACCAAGGAGGTCCTGGATCTGCGGGGCAATGCCCAGTTTGTACAGGTACAAGCTGAAATAAACCACACCAGGGTGTAAGATTTTTACCAAAAATAAAACAACAAGAAAGCACTGAAAAGGTCAAAACCATCTGCAGATGAACAGCCTAATATCATGAAACAAACACATTCTTTTTATTTTTCCCTCCAGACTGTGATGCTGCTGATGACTACCACTCTGCCCATTCACATTTACACCAGAGGGGGGCACTGTTGGCTCAGACTACATGTGCTATCTGACAGCAGTCAACAGGCTCAGTCCACCACTGAGCAATGAATTCAACAAGCAGGTGGCTGGAAACTTCATAAAACTTTCATCTTGCCACAGGCACCTGATAAGAGGTAATGAATTAAAGAAACTTAAGGCAGATCTGGCATCAGCACAGCTCTGAGTGGAGCAGCTGTAGTAGCTGCTCATCCTGCCCTTTGATCTGTGTGTAAACATGAAATGCTCTCTGACCTTGGAACAGAGGGAGCCTTAAACAGCTATCTAAACTCTGCTTATGTTTTAACATGCACCTGGCTGATTCAGTCTGAGATACAAACAGTGTCCAATTAAAAAGCTCAGGGGTTACAGTAAATGTTCTTGCATACTGTCCTCGTCTCTAACTTTTGATGCCACCAGGGTTCTTGCCAGGGCACCCTTGCGACACAGGTCCTTGACCTCAAGGCATCTTCCCTGGATAAATAAAGGCTAAATAAACAGGCAGTCATCTGATTAGCAACTAGCTCTCTCCAGACTGTGGAACCCCTTTGTTCATCTCCATGTTTTCCCCCTTTGCTTTTGGGCAGCAAATTAACATCTCTACCACTTTGTCACAAGTGTTTTAAAATGTACTTTTACACTGTGTTCCCCTTCAATTCCCCAGAACATTGAATGTTCAGGAGCAATCGCTGTTTTGCCTCCATGTCTGCATGGGTTTTCACACCGGAAAACAGAGTATCCTCTTTGTGGTTATGGGACTTAAGCTGCACTCGCAGGAAGGAAGAACACGTGTATGCATAAGCAGGAAAGGAAGCCAATTCTCTCAGGACCTGAGCAGAGCACTACAACTGAGAAAACAATGTAAGCAGCTCACATAAGCCCTCCCTAGACCTGTGTTTGGCTGACTGGATAAAACTAGTGCCTCAGTTCATTCAGTCGGCTAAAAAAAGCAAGGACCTAAAGTTGTAATGATCAAGAGACCTGCCAGTAAAAAAAAAAACACATTTACCTTTTGTGATGAAACTGAAAGTAAACAGTTGAGCACTTCCAAAAAGCCCCTGCCTAGTTACTGTATAGGGGTTTATATATCAGCAGTGTGGCGTGTGGTTAGTGTAGTTATGATCAGTGTTCAAAATAAACTTTGAGTAACAGAGTTAAAAAAAATAAAAACTACAAATTTAATTATTAATTATGGGCTCATAATTAAAGACGTCTCAGCCAATAGGCAATTCAGTTCCTGAGAATGTGAATTTACAGAATATTGCACCAATAACTATACAGTCACATGCATGGTGCTGTATAGCCCTGACCTACTTCACTTAAATGATAAAAAGGTCCATGTTTGACAAGAAGCGCTCTCATTGCCTTTCCAAAGCAGAATTGACATTTTCCAGTTCCCGTTTCATATCACTTACTAAGTACTGTTTCTGCTCTTGATATCTGCACGGTCAATTTAAAGTTTTAAACACGCTTTAACAGTGAATTGAATGTGAAAGTGTCTCAAAACCTGCAACAGGTAGTGTAGACTAGAAGGTTGAAGTTATTACATAAAAAAGACCATGCCCACACACCACCGGGGAATAAAAAAAATCTCAACATAAGCAGTTTCGTATATTTGACATTCTACATACGAGCTGTCCCCATATAGTTGAGTATTTTAAATTACACTGGAAGCTGTTAGCAAACTAGAATATGAGCAGATGACAGGTGCACACGTGTAGGTCGACATTTACAGAGGAACACAATGCTTGCTGAATTTAATTTGCCCAATAGGTCATAGTTTGATTCCAACTGCCCAACACCAGCACTAAGGCCATCTATAAAATTAAATTAGCAGTTTACTCCACTGGTTTTCATTTCTTTCTTAGAAATGGAATCACAGGTGCGGCACCTACAGGAAACAGTGGTACCATGTAATTGTAAAAACAAAACAAAGACTTCAGAAATGAGTGAGCAATTTTGCTGTGAGAGCAAGAAATGGAGTAGAGCGGTAATGAAAAATCACAGTGTGTTTTTGCAGTTGTACCTCAGTGCATGTATGCAGTATACCACCTTGGGCATGTTCTTGCGATCATACACATCTGTCGTTTCAGGATAGAATATCTGAAAGTAGAAACCACAACAGGTTGTTAGTCTTTCTTTTTTTTAATCACCCTTTATTCTGGTGCAGCCAAACAGGAACACACTACCCACTGCAATGCTCCTTCACATTTTAACCTGTGGACACATGAGAAGTTGCGAGGGCTGGACACAGTAACAGAAACACATGAAAACTATAAGGCAATCCCAGATCAAAGCAGTGCCTTCAATGCTAGCTTTGTGAAACTCTTCATTTTCAACACCTACCTAAAATACAGAGCGCTACAAGCTTCACGAAGGTACGTTTTACTGCAGTACTTTTGCATTGGACTCGATTATACTGCATTTTACAAGTGCTCATGCTGTTGCTCTGCCCCTGTTATCACTGGTCATGGTACATATTCGACTGTCCCATCTGTCAAGCATCTCAGATATTTAGCTAAAGTCAGGAACTTTGCCTAATCTTTACTAACAAATATGTCACAGTTTAAGGTGGAAAAAGTTCCAGGCCCCCTCTTGCCCTTTTAAAATGCTTTTTAACTATGTCACACCTGTCATGGCATCATTGATGTACTCAAAAACACAGGGAAAAAGCTTATACAAGTTAACATTATCAGACTGACTAGCTCTCAGACCCATTCAAAGCAACCCTCTGATTAAATTACTACAAAAAGTGATCCCAACGGGCAGTACAGCGATAAGCAGGTATCAACTTTACCTCATTTTCATTTCCAGGGTGCACCTCAGTGAAGTCTTTTGTGTCATCTCATAAATGATGTAATGAGGTTAATACAGTGCTTATGTCTGTATGTGTATGAGGACTGTCACACTCTCATTACAATGTGTCAGTGTTTACATTCTTAGAGATATATGGAATGTTTATGTGCATCATGTCACAGAGAGGGATATTAATGCCAAATTCTAGCGAAGCCTGATGGCACAGAACTGTGCAGTTCAAGTATTTAAACAGAGAAAAGCAGATGGTCTTTTCACTATGTGAATACAAGTCACATTAGCTGATTTAATAACTGTTCTAATTTTAGACCTTACTACCGAATTTTCACATTCTTGTTTTCCTGCTGTAGCCGGAGCAGCTTCTTCCATCAAATGGAAAAGTTGTACTGTCGTCACTGGATGGATTCTGCCCAAGGACAGATTTGAAATTCATTCTACAGCTGTTTTACGATTGATTATACCCTGTCCTGGTTTTGGACTGCAGCTGCAGCCCTAAGCCAATTAACATGCATAAAAGCCAGTGCCTCCTAATTCCACAGTTTATGGTGCAAAGCACAACTCCCTGGATGATTTGTTTAGCTTCTGCATCATACGCTTACAGCACAGGGGTTTGCATGACAGCTATAAAATCACTGAAGTGGTGAAACAACATGTCAAGAAAAGAAAAAAAGCACACAAACACTTCACTAAAGCATTATGCTGCAAAGAAACAAAATCTACTGTAAATAAACAACTCAACAACTTCAAATAAAGAAGTTATAAGTCATGCTGCTGTGGTGAACTACTCCACTAACTTAACTGTACACTGCACAGGAACCGCTCACTGAACTGTCAGCTGCAGAAATTCTCCAAAGACTCGTCTCCGTCATCTTCATGAGGATGACAGGGAGTGCAAACGACTGATTCAGGACTTTGTGGACTGATGTCTGAAGTCCCATTGACCCAGTGCAGGTGTTGGGGAAACAGGAGGATGTTAGCTAAGCTAGCATCCCTGCTGAAGAAGGACTCCCACCCCATGCATGAGACTGACAGCACTGGGCAGCTCCATCAGTGACAGACTGCTTCACCCCAAGTGCATGATGGAGCGTTATCACAGGTCCTTCCTTCCTGCTGCTGCTGCTGTCAGGCTGCACAACCAGCATTGCTGCCAGTAGACAGACCCATGTGCAACTATATGTAAATATTAGTTTTACTTTTTATTATTGTATTTAATATTGATATCTTGTCTGTTACTTTTTCTGCTTTTACCACTGAGTGCCTTGTTTCTAACCCCTTGCTGCTGTAGCCTTGTGAATTTCCCTGCTGTGGGACTAATAAAGGTTCATCTTATCTTAACTTTATGTCAGGCCATGTCCTCAGTCCTGTCCTTGTATTTCAGATACTTCCAGTACTTTTAACTAAATGTTACAAAGATAAAACAGGATCTTTCTTATTGAGCAAATAGAATATCAGCTTGTAAGTTTTAACTCATCTGCACATGGGGCACTGCCTTTAACAAATACTTGCATGTCTACAGGTGTGACCCTTACCTTGGGGAGGCCCACCGACTCCATGGCTCTGAGCCACTGCACTGTGTTGTCGGTGTGTCTGAAGTGCAGCCCTTTGCTCTGGAAATGAGAAAAATGGGCACAGGCAGGTATGTAGAAATGATAATACGGCAATGCAAAGAAGTTGTTGGAAATTTTTCCGCTGCATGAAAAATGCTGATATGTATGAAATGCACTGATAACACTACGTTACAAAAAAGCAGTTATTCATCTATGGCCTTAAAACACATGCAACAGCTGAGCTGGTCTAAAAACCTCATGCTGACTCCTTATTTGGCATCTAACAGCCTAATCAGGTTTGATTAAAATTGGTCAGAAATAAAATATTGCTCATTTTGTAGTTTTCTCTTTTAGCATAGCTGCAGGTGAGAATGAAACCTGCCGTGTTTTTCTCTTTCCTGTTTAAAACTGTGTCAGCTGTCAAGAAGTGCCTGAAAGATCTGGAAATAGTCTTCCTGACCATTATGATGCAAGCCAGTTAGGAATGCAAATGTATTTCAACTATGACCTCTCCCAAAGGAGGACAACAGATGTAGCTGAAACACAAAAGAGTGCAGCTTTACCTTATAACGGGACTGATCTCGGTCATAGATCCTTTTCTCAGACACCATTTTGGGGGCAAAAAAGTTGGCAAGTTTGCCAAGATAGACGCCGTTCCTCAGTCCCTCCTCCAGTTCTATGGTAGAGGGCAAGTCCTCTTCTAGGCAGGCCTCTATCCACCTGGACATATACAGATTCTGATCTTAGAGCAGGCAGAGGATTTTCATCAACCGCAGGACAAAACCACTATAAATGCAAGTCTAAGTAAACACGTTCAAGACTTAATGTGAAAGCTGAGGAGTGGACAACATTTCAGACTACTGCTCTACAAGCTAAGAAACTGCACTCATTAGAAAGTACAGTTATTAAACATTTCACTACCATGCTTGGGTTACATTCTGAGGGTAAGCAGCTGACTAGTCTGTTTATCCTGCCACCTGAGATCTAGAGTGTAGTGCAAAGTTAAGTATGCCCGCACGTAGTCAGCAAGTCAATATTGGATTTTCCTTCACATGATGTCCTTCCTGATCCAAGCAAAAACTAAAAGACACTGGAAAAAGAACATAAATCGTAAGCAGAATGATACAATAGGGAAAAATCCCCCCCTCTCTCTCCTTCTCTCTGTGGAAAAATGATGACTGCAGCACCTTTTCATTAATTTCTTTGGGATCGGCTCAACTGTAGATACATTTTGTTGGCTGGAAACTAAGTCAGGGAATGAAAGCAGAGGACTGTGTAACATAACAGGAGAATTCAGCTTTGACCTCAAACCACACAGCATTTGTACACCACCACCAGTGTCATGGCTGCAGTGTCAAACAGAGCAACAAAGTAGTGTGTCAGCCTGAGAGAACTGGGCACTGTTACAGGCAGCACCCACACTGAGGCCAGCATGCTTTAGGATGGGGGATGTGGACACTTCTGCAGTTTGAGCTTTGACACCTAGGCTTTCTTGTCAAGCAACAATGTGAGGTTACAGAGGTAAACAGTGAGTAAAATAGTCTACTACTCATCACTGATCAAGGTTTATGAGTGTCAGTCATATTAGACAATTATGTGCGATCATGAAACAAAAAGCGAATCATTCCACTGGATGACCAGAGATGTCTGTAAAATGTAAGCACTAAATATATTCAGAATACTTGGTTTGTTAAAATAACAATGACTTTCTAAGTGATGTCATTTCCCTTTGAAAAGTTGCAGAGTGGCTTCTGCGCTGCAGTGTTTGCCAGAGATATTAGGAAAAACCCATTCCAAAGTACTAGTGAATGATTTGCGAGCACAGTGAAAGTAGGTCTGAAAATCTGTTACACATTATCTTACCGCCTGGAAGTGACACTCTAGGACAACTACGCATACACCCCTGTCCTGGTGGCTACACACCAAAAAAAAAATTTAAAGATTTATGTGGATTTATGTGCAAGTTATCTTGTTACCCTTCATCCTAAATTGATCCTTTGACCTTTGCATGCATGCTCATGTTTCATTTCTGGGTTTTAGTCATACCAGTGGCTCCTGCCCTCCTAAAGCAATAAAGCCTTCCCTCCCACATATGTGCCCACAGATACCTTGTTTAGGTTAATTAAGACCGTGTGGGTGCTCAAAGGATCAGGCTTGCCAAAATACATGTCAGCACATTAAAGCCAACCACAACAAACTTTGCACTGTCAACAAACCCAGTGGTGTGTGTCAGTTAGGCCCCTTGAGGATTAAAGCATCCATGTAACCAATATTGTCCGCTGACTTCAGAGATCAGGCAAAAAGAAGAGCTCTGCCGTACTTCAGTGTTTTGTAAACTGCCACATTTTCTCTATTCAAGTACTTGTGGTGTGGTAAAGTTACAACATGAGCTAAGCTACATCTTCCTGCAGAATAATTTTGTGATAAGCCATTTCTCCCCACACCTGGTACCAGAGCTCTCCACGCTCTATCAGAGATCTGAATCTGGGGGCTGGTACCTAGGGGTGATTTTAATAATAACAGCCATAGACTGTACATGCAGATGATATGTAAGATTATAGAAAAAAACAGTTTGGTGGGAAGATAAATGAACATCCTGCTTGTGTATCAGAGCTCTCCTGTGAAATTTCACTTCCTGTACTTCAACAATGCAGCGAGAACACATCTCCTGAAGCAGGACAAGGACAAGCTCCTGTTTACAACCCCCTAAAGCAGGCCTTCCTGTCATTGTCTCTCTGGGATCTAGGACCAAAGTCACAGCTCAACACATTATCAGTAACCTTTGTTTTCTTCTACAGTATTTCTGTCCACCCAGAGCGTCTTCTTGCGTCATGTAGCTTAGTCATGCTGGTCATGAGTTTGTTTATCTAAACTGAGAAAGATAAAAAAATAAGATAGAAATGTAAACCACCACTTGTTTACACTGCAGTGAGGGTACAAAGTCTTGCTCCAGAAACCTGTGTGTCGTTTGTAGAAGGGTGTGTCTATCAACTGACAGCACCAGCAGAGTAAAGTTAAAAATCTAGGGAACGTTGAGCAACAAAGCATGTGAGCAAGACACTGTATAAAGATTTCTGGTTTGTGCCAATTAAATATGGAAGTTCATATGTGCCACGAACCAGCAGCAAATCATCCAGCCAGAATGAGTGTTGCATCTGCCATGAGGCTGACCTAATGTCGTTAGGCACATGCTGTCACAGTGAGGACATGTTCATCAAGCCTGCTAGCTAATTATCTGTTCATGCCACCCGACTCAGTGCAGCAGATAATGGGCCCAGGTTTAAACCAAGAGCAACGGGTTGTTTTTGACTTAATAACTTGGATAACATTATTAGTAACACTTGGGCTTTTCCCACTAGAACAAGTCACAGCACTAAAATACTAATGTTGCATCCAAAACTGTGATATCTACAAATTAAAGAATCATTTTGCTGTATCGTAAAATCTGACATCCCCTATACAACCTAATCAGTTAATCCAGTGTTGTTCTACCAATAGTTACACATCTCAGACTTTAAAGCACATCACTTTTGTACATGTAGTGTGGTCATTTGGCTACAGAACAGCGGGGGAGAGGCTCAGGTTCATTTCAGGCTTCACTTGGTGAAACACCCAGGGAGTCGCTTCTGGGCTGTTTCAGGTGTTCTGGAGCTGTGGATTAAACGGTTTCTTCAAAGATCATATCAAAAGTGGACTCCGTGGTCTCCTCGTTTCAGTGACTGCTGACTCCTGACCCCAGAGAACAGAACCTAATCCCGTGCTCTCTGCGGATGATGGCTTCATGTGACTGGCCCCACACACAGCGTCCAAGTAGAAGCCTGGTTATTGTAGCGCCACCAGGCTACCGGATATTACACTGGATTTAAGCATAAACAATCCATCCCAGGAACTAATTTCGGTGTGACTGGGTGGGGTTGTCTCAAAATCAGCATGCTAAAACTGGCGTGATCACACTTCCTGTTCAGATGGGTTCCTTTGTGAAGAAGACAGGAAGTGGTTTCGTTTTAACTTTGCTCTGGCACCTGACAGGAAACTGTGACTTCAGATTTGTCTTTAGAATAATATACTTAAATTAAAATCTGAGCAAGCTATCAGGAACAAAACCTACTAAGAAAAGTGTCAACAAAGCTTTTTCTATTTCAGCACCAGTGAGGTGCAGTGGAAAGAGAGCTGCTCTTTCCACTAAGTCAGCACCTACCCATCGTGATCGCACATCTTCCTTCTCGTGAATGTTTACAGTACCAGGTCATCAGGTCATGCCCACAAACACTGTTTAATCACACACTGATAGGTTCCCTTATCTATCATACAGTAGTTCCTCACTTTGATCACTTAATGTCCCAGCCACTCCCTGTTTTGATATCTGCGTGATGATGCTCAATAAACACACAAGCTAATAATAAATAACCGCCACATAGTCAAAGATTAAACAAACCTAATTCCTGTCCTGAAAGCACACCCCATAATACAAGCTCAGAGTTGTGAAAAAGTAAACAACAAACGAAAGCATGTGCTGTTAAGATCCTCTTATCATGAAGGTTTTTCCTTCCATCCCTTCCCTCCTGCCCCGTTGCCAGCTCTTCACATCTCCTCCCATCTTACTGTTTGGCCTCCTCTAGGTGACACAGGTACTCGTAGGCGATGTTCTGTCGTCTCCTCTCGTCCATCTCCTCCGCCGACAGCCTCTCGTCATCCTGGATGGCTGGAAAAAACACATTTAAAATGTCAGCGTCATACTCGCATAAATATTCCATGGCGTGTTGTGTTTTCTTGTTAAACCTGATTACACACAAAGCAGGTCTGAGTAAAATTATTATCATAATATCTTTGTTATTTGATATTTACAGTGTATTTGACATAGTATGGTAAATGTAAAGAAAAAAATCACATTAAAAATGTTCAGAATATGACACAAAGTCAGCACAGCCCTCATTTGAGGCCTGCATCCTAAATTTAGTTTTTCATCAGTTCCAGCACTTTATTAAGATGATCAGCCAGTGCAGCGTCCAGATCCATATTACCTGCATTAGTCCTTCACAATTCCTAAACATGACACAGTTTATTTATTTAACAGGCTATTTCAGGCACTGAAAGATCAAACACTGCATTACAGTGTAAGCTGAGGTACCTGAAATACAAAGTTATTTGCTGATGCCCGGTAGGACGTTTAAGATCGCTGTAGTGTTAACATGAATGGTACTGGTAGTGTACAGCAGGCCAATTCACTTTAGTATGGAGATTTCATTCAAATGAATTTTGATACTGTAGGATCATCTTACCAAAGGCTGCACATAACAATCAAAATACCAAGACTAAGAAGACATTTCCTGATAGAGGAGGTTTATTTTATTTGCTGGGAGCTTGATTACCCCTCAGACTGCACTTGTCGCATGCTCCACTGAACCCCGTTATGAGGGCCGTGTCACAGTGGCGTCAGCGGGGTGCTGACAAGTCACTTCTGCTTCCAGTTGACCTTTACCTGGAGTTTAATGAGCTCTTCTCCCCCAACACGCCTTACCTGGCTCTAATCCAATCAAGTCTCTTTATTTCAGGCTGAGTGAAGGGTGAATCTCTGACTTGGGGGCTCAGCGTAGGAAAGTGGACTAAGCACCCTACCCAGAGTTTGACTATACACGGGCAGCTGAGTTTTCACATGGCATAGTTAGTATGCTTTTTTATGGTTCTTTATTAGGCTGTAAGACGTGAAATAAGCCAAACAATGTGTGAAAACCACACATTGTATACGCACAAGTGTAAGCAAACACCAGTGAGTCAGTGTTCTGGCCACTGGTACCACTGATTGTCTTAAACAAAGTAATTTCATTAACCAGGAGGAGAATAAAAATCTAGAACAGCCAGTTTAAACCATCCTTCATAACTGAAAGCAGTTCAGCTGTTTACAATATCCAAATTCATCACAACTGTACACCTGTAAATCTTAGTCCACTTAGTGCTGTAATGTTTTTGCAGCATTTTATGTCTCCAAATATTCAAAAGTGCAGTGCAGAGTCCAAAATAATACTCTGTGGGACATTACATGCAAGTTTCTGTGGGTCTAGCCTGAATATTTTAAACTTCCCCATCGCTCTCTGCTAATCTCTAAGCCACCTGCACAGACATCCGTTCACTATGTCTCAGCAGAGGGTTGACTCTCATGTGAGGCGAGATGCAAGCCAAACACTGTCCACTCGAACATGTGGATGTCTGTGCAGGCTGTTGTTTGTGCTGCATTATGCAGAGGAGTTTTTTTATTTTATTTATTTAGCTTAGCTTCAAAGACACTGGTGGACAAAATAATAGAAACTCCAGTCTGTAGAATGCAAGCCACATTGCTAAACATTATCAGCACAAAGGGAATTTGTTTTTGTTTTTTAAAAAACAGCAGGACCTTTGTACTAAATCGTAGCCCAGCTCCGCAGCTGCTATGGATGTAAATGTGTATGTAAACTCATGGGGCAGAGCAGCCCCACTGCAGTCATTACACACTACCGCTATTGACTCACTCATACACTTCCTGCACCCTTGTTATATTTAACCCTCAGGATGAGTTTGCTGCCTTTGTGTGTCATCGGACCTACAGACCTGAGTTACAGGCTGTATGATTATGACTCATGCTTTTGTTTCACTGAAGGGTTATCCCGCCTAACCTTCTGGGAGGCTGAGGGGGAGCTACAAATCAAGACGGACTTTGCTTTTAGACCATTCCTGTTCAGAGGCAAATCCTTAAACTAAGGTTAGTGTGAAATTAATTTCAGGGACTCACTTTGCTTTGGTCCCATAAAATTCATATACTGTAGGGGGAACTTGGGACAGCTTTGGACTGTTTCACACAGATATGGAGCACAAATAAAAACAGCTTGATGGTTCCTAAAGCTGCCCTATACTATCTCTGTCTTTGCAACAAAGGATCAATAAGCTATGGTGGTCTGCCTGCAGAACGGGACGGAGCTGGTCAGTGAAATGTAATGGGCCAAATCAGAGGCAAAAAGACTGCATTGATGACATAATTGATTGGTGCACTTTCTCAGAGTTGCACTTTGCCCCACAGATGTTTGCATGTGACCAGATACCTACAGTAAGAATGTGCAGAGGTCAGGTGTTTTCTTTCAGTTCCCTCAGTTACATTCTTGACAGTGTCAGTTATAGATTTTCAAGCAGCAAAACCCCATGTTAATATTTAACCTGTGAGAAAAATACTTGCTTAAACAGGCTGATAGGCTGGCTGCCACCATTAAGTAAACAGATTTTGTTTTTAATCTTTGCGGTGCATTTGGGGTCACTTTGAAAAGGCGACCAGGCTACAGATCAAAATGTCCAGAGGTCAGCCCCCCGAGTCTTAACATCTTTAGCTTGGACCCTGAACTTTATAACTTTAATTTAATAACCAGGGTATGAAACTTTTAATGACTGTTGTCCACCTCTGACCATATTACATTTCTACTTCTCCCATATTTTCAATGCCACACCCATTGAAGGTATGGTGCTGCCCAGGTGCAGCTGACCCACCTGTTGCCCATCAAACATCCCTGTGATGGCGCCTCTCGCTAGCTTAATCCTCAACTCCGTGGTAGCTTAAAAACAGCCAGAAAAGATGCTTCTGTACTTACTTCCATAGCGTGGCTTTGGTAAAGATGCAGTTTCTTCATGGTACATCCTGCCTCGTTTCCTCTACTTGTGAACTCGTCTGAACTGGAAATAACTTAAAAGCTAACTTTACAGCAACCAGCCAACAAGGTGCCGCTCCTCTCAGAATATACTGATATGAATAAAATTACCGGTCTAGCCAACTGGGGAAAAAATGCAAAAAACGGGGCACAAGTCTTCAGACGTTTCATGAAGCTCCAGCTGTCACTTGCAGCACATAACCCCCATGGTGTTTTACTTCACTCCTGATCACACTGCTCCCAGCCCTCGCGGTTTCAGCTCCGCTCCGAAATGAAGTCATTGACAGGGCAGGAGACGGAGCTTTAACAGTTTGCGCCCCCTGGTGGCCAAAAGGCGACCCGTGCTGCATTCACTGCCACTGGGAAAAGGGTAAATACCGTTACACAGATGGACCGGCTCACTCATTTCACTGCACTGTGGCTGTGTAACTTTATTCACCTGTTCTGTTTTATTCATTGCAGTGCTGGGAAGTAATTAGTACATTTGCTCAAATACTGTTCTTAAGTGCAGTTTTGAGGTATTTGTAGGTCTATATTTGCCCTTTCTGCTACTTCGACTTTCCAGAATCAATCAAATGAAATTCAGTTTAATCATACAACGTTATTGATTCCTGGCGGCAAATTCACAAGCTACCGGGCAGTAATTCAAATTAGAAAAATATAAGGTAGTTACAGTTACAGTAGGTCTACCTTTATCAGCTGCAGCATTAAAGTGACGAACACAGTAATGCATCAGTAATTCTAATTCAATACATGAATATGAAGTGTGCCATTCTGCAAATTATTTTTTGTACTATACATATATTTTGATACTAATACTTTTGTGCTGTAACATTTTGAATGCAGGACTTTTACTTTGTAACAGTTTTTACAGTGTACTTTATCGAAGTAAACACTACTTCTTCCATCACAGTTTCAGTGTTGGCTTATTTCTATCATCTGTTTTATTCTCTCTCTTTTAAATTTTATTTATGTGTATTTTTATACAGCGTTTCTTTATAGTTTGTCTTTTTTATGCCTTACATAATGTAGTTGTTCTTGAAAGGCGCAGAAATTTTGCATCTCTTAATAGACCTCAGTAGGAACTTATTTTTCACTGAAGACCCTTTTCCTTCCAAAAATAATGCAAAAATATATAGTAATACATCATAAACTGAGAATAACCCCACATCCTCTTGTGATAAATTATCATCAAAAAATAGGCTATGCTTTTTAATTGGCCCAAATGTCATTTGCATGCATTTATTATACAAACACTGGAAACCAGGGGAGAAAATCGAACAAGTTTAAACATATTGTACGTTATTGTACAAAAATCTTCTTAACATCAAAGTAAATGTTGTGTATTTCTGAACAAGTGCATGTATCAAGGAACTCATATTAAACGTATTACTTAATTTTAACCGCTAGGGGGCAGCATTACTTTGCGAACATGACTGAAGCAACCATAAGGGGCACAGTCACATACACTACGTGTCTCTACATGTGCTGTACTTATGCTTAGCTATACTGAGAGGTGCTTCCGAAACAGTTAGAGAACAGATAAACTACTGATTTCAGTAGTATATGATACAGTTCAAAAGCACACAAACTACGGCATCCAAAGTGATCTCATCTCAGTAAAAGTGTTTCAACCAAAGCACATTACAACCTTCACACAGGTGGGATGCATTGCAGAGCTGTTTTATATTCCACCATTTTATATTTGTTACACCTCAATAGTTTAAGAAAGTCCTGTTTAATAAACTGACAGCTAAGTTAATTTTGCACATTTAGAGTCTGTAGTCCCCATAAGAACATACCTATGAACCAAATGCAGATAAACTACTTGAACCAAGGGGAAGCTGTGCACCGCAAGACAGTGTTGGCATCATCTCTCCACAAGGGTGTATTTGTTAGAAAATAATAAAAAAGCAGCACCCAGGCTTGATACAAACGTCTACAGGTAAGTGCAATCATGTCATATATTAAACAAATATGAAGATTAATTTTATTCTCAGGCTTGAAATACAGATTGTGAAATAAAAACACAACATAATTTGCAAGAGAACATGACTTTTATTATATGTTCAAAAGCAGCAAGCCTTTCCCTGCCTTTCCATTTGCTAATATTATTCACAGGGCAAATATTTCTTCACATACATACATATTTGTGGACCTCTGATTATACAACTCAGTCACCCTATGACTGGCATGCCCTACACACCAATATGCACAACTTTAGTCTCCACATACATTTGATTTCCTCCATAAAATAGATGAACAGAATGTACATACAAGAGTGATACATTCACATTTTTCCTCAACCAAAATCTGAATATTGCCATCATTTTCTGCCAGAAATAATTACAGTAAGAAAACAAAGTTGAGCACAAAAAAACATAAGTTTTCTTACATACATGCAAGTGAGTACACACACATACACACACACACAATAGCAGGCGAATGAGGCACTAAAAGCCAGGAACAGACAGTATTGTTTGGACAAAGCAGGAGACACATGAGTCCAGCAAGGCTCTTATATATATTTAATCCAGAAATTCACCAATATCAGCTTTGATATGTACACAATATTTAGGCTACACTCATGCCCCCATACACAGGCCCACACATACATATCTCATCTCTAGAGCTCTCTTATCCACATACACAGGCATACACACACACACACACACACACACACACACACATACATATAAGCAATACCCAAAAATTACCTGAAACATAACAGGCAATAGTATTTCTCACCAGTTACAGCAGGTCAATCTGCCAGTGATTAAGGTTTTAAGTTCTGCTGTTATTCTTCGGCCAAAGTCATATCAGTGCATTTAGTTAGAATTTGTATGCCATGTTTCAAAAAATATTTAAATCACATGATCAAAAAATATCTGTTGTGCAGTAGCAGCACACTTCCTTATGAATTTCCAAAGTAAACAAGTTAGGTTTATTGCAGACATACAGTACCACTCTGGAAGCCTATGAGGGATTTTGTTGTTTTGTTTCTTTCCTTTTTTAATGTAGCTTCAAGAGAGCCGACTGCAGAGCAAGGGCAAGCTATCTACGCTGCAGTCACAAATATCACAAAGACAGAGGAAAGCAGGAGAACACAGGCTGTTAGCCACAGAAACTAAAATCCACAGGAAGGCGAGACTGAAAGCAAATCAATTATTGTGTTATATATATCTATGTGAAAAATGTCATACCATTTTAGAGGTGTTTTAATGCTTATATAATAGCAATATTACTTTATTATCAGTATTTTTATCTTATTTATTCTCTTATTATCCTTATCTTTAGCAGTGTGCATTGAAGGTTCAAAC